CGTTGTGGGAGCCGGCGGCGTCGCTTGACACGTTGTGGGAGCCGGCGGCGTCGCTGAAGTAGTTTTCTACTTCATTGGTTTCCAGTTGCACTAAGAGACAAATTATTTTCAGTCAGGTCAACATTCTCTGGATTTTTAGCTCTAACGATTTCAGCAAAGTTCTATTTCACCTTCTCTAGCATTATGCTTCAACATGGAATCCAGTGACTGCAGAAGCATGATGGCCTTTTTCATAGAAATGTCATTTTCAGACACTACAGAGCACAGAGATCTCGTTAGCATCAGGAACAAACAAAGTAAGGTTTCTGTTAAAGGGCAGCTTACCTCCATGCTGATCAGGACCCATGTTTGGATTCACTGGTAGGCAGGATCCTGTTAGACAGTTAAAACAGTCATACTTGCATCAGACAATCAGCTTAAACACTCAACAACAGAACCGTCCAACAAAACTCATCTAAAATAGATTAAAACTTTCTTCTTTCATGAATCCATTTCTCACCTTTAAACACCAAGCCAACCAAACACAGGAGCAGGACAGGAAGACGCCGCATGTTTGCTGCTTCAACTGAAAGCAAAGCAGCACCTGAGGCTTAAATAGAGCCTCAGCTGATTCAGCTGCGCAGCATCAACTGCTAATTAGAAGCAGAAACAAACACTTGCTGCTCGTTAAAATCAGGGATTTCTGTGACATACTTGTCTTTAGGCTTTGGTTAAATTATTTTTATTAGTTCACATTATAACAGGAGATAAATCTGATCAAACTCTGAAGATAACAGAGAAAAACAGACGGAAATGAAAACAATAAAACTCTTTTTCTGAATTAATCTTTGTTTCTAGGAATTGTTTTTAATCTTGAGCTTTAATTAGAAAGTATTTATTTGAAAGAAAAATAAAGATTTTTAATTAACATTTTAATTCACTGGAAGAAGTTCAGACTTTTCACATGTTTCTCAAACTGCTCAGATTCTCCTAGTTTAGAGTCACATAAAATATTCCAGCATTTTGAACCTTCATTTATCGTCCAGTAATCATTTCTCCTGGAAGACTTTCACATTCTTGCAGCTGCAGACAGACTGTTGTTTCTTTTTTCTGGTCCAGTCTGTCTCTTTCAGCAGATGGGTTGCTAACTCCTGATCTAGAACTTCCTGATCTATCAGAACTTCCTGATCTAGATCTAGATCTTCCTGAGATGTTCTTCTAAAGTATTTATTTCTGTTGCTTTTTTTTTCAGCCTGTAGAAACTTTCTCTGTAGAGCAAATTCTGGGGTTTATCTGTTGGATAGTTTCAGTATTTGTTCGATGGAGGTTGTTTATGCTGCATCATAATACCTGAAGCTGGAACGTCCCTCTGTGGGGCTCTGACAGAAATAACCCAGTTTTTAAATTGAGCAATGATGTGAAACTGTGTCTGTGACAGAATGTGATGGACTGAAGAGCTGAACTCCTGGCAGACCGCATCAATGAACCGTATCGACTGTCGGATCCGGCGTTTCCATTCCGCTCCCTGCTGCTTGACCTGAATCCAGATGATAAACGGACCCCCGCAGAGCATAATGGGAAAGGCCTGGACTGAAGCCACATGCACCAGTTTATATCTCAGCATGAGACCCAGTCAGAGGTACACACATTCTGGTTTAGCTATATGTAGTGAGGACCATGTGTTGACTTTTTAATCCTTAATATGCCCTGACCTTGACAATAACATTAACCATTACCAGTACATAACTAACCTTAACCATTACCAGTATATAACTAACATTAACCATTACCTGAGCATACCTGTCCCTAACCCACAAACCTTTCCTTCCAGACCAGTTCCAGCTAGCTCATTAGCCGTTTACCTTTTAGGGGAAAAAAA